TGACCGAAGCATCAAATTTACAGCATATCGCATCTCCCACAGCGACTTCCAATTTACAGTTTCCCTGCTTAAAACACGAGTTCCTAACGCATTGGAAACCCTACCAACTCACATGAAGTAGTGGAAAATTCGCAGCAAACACTATTAAATGTGTATACTTTATTAAGAAGATTATCCAAGAAAAATGAGGCATAAGACGCTTACTGCTAAGTAGAAATTCCCGACGTTTAACACGAACAAGGAACAAAAACCGTTCTTCAGTATAAGCCCTTGAAATGCTGGATTATTGTGGATTACGCCCAAAGAATTTGCAAATGTTATTTATAAAATCCGGAACATTAAGTGCGAGTGTCGAAAAGATATTTACCACTTTGAATAAGAAATGGGAGTTTATTTAAATTGGTAAACGAAATAGCAATTTGGGGAATGCAGAATTTCCAGCTGGTGGACTTTCTTGGAAAAAATTCGATGTGGGGATTTCTAATGGAAATAGGAGACCTATTTTTTCACATTCTAGACGTTATGAATGTCCAGTGAACACGAACACATTTCCAGGAATTTGTTTTTGATTGCATTAGAAAATTGCTTATTTTACAACTCTTGCACCTGTTTATAAATCTCGTTGTGATCAGTCGAGGGCCCGTTTCATTTGCCTAGGAGAAATCATTCCCTTCTCTAAACACTTCGGGACCTGCAATATGCCTAAACCCTTCCCACCCTCGACATTAAGTTAATTGTCTGAAAATGGCGGCTCCTCGGAACAATCCTTCCTTAATTTATCACAATTGTGACTGGGTAAACATCTCACGTAATTATTTTCGTCGAAAATTTAATCAGCAAATAAACAAAAACTGCGTGTATACCGTATAAACAGCAAATTCGTGTTAATAGGAGGTGGTAGAACGGATTAATAAATCTTTGTTAACTCGGCATTACAAAACACGGTGGCTTTATCATGGAACAACATGCATCAATCATTCAGATTGGCCCGTCATCAGCATATACGTCCGACAGTATTTCATCTCTTGGAATCCTAAAGTGTGCAGATATTAATTGTTGCACGAACGAATATATCCAGTAGGATCATTTGGATCGCGACGAGAAGTGGCGCGATAAATGGCACGGAATGAGATAAATTGACCCCAAATGGGACAGTTTTAATTCGGGGTTGGCGGTGCCATCGTCGATAAATATTCCATTTTGTAGTGAATGGGTCCAACTTCATCGGGTGTCGAGTCGGCGTTCGGGCTTGTCGCTCTCGAAAAGGTTGAGTAAGCTTGACAATTTGTTTGGATTTGAAGTGTATTGTGTTGGCCAGACTGCGTAAGATAGGAGGAATAAAAGACGATTACAATGGAGGACATATATTTTTTAATAACTAGCATTATGACAAGAACTTTACATACATAGAGATAAATAACATGGTCGTCAGCAATACCTGAAATCAAAAGCTCTAATAATAATTTCACAAGGCAAAGTTCACACGGTTTGTCCTTAACATGATTGTAGTTTAATAGAACATTGGTCATTCACACTTCTTATTACGTAGTCCTATAACAACTAATACAACTTTAAAATAAAAGTATTATTTAAGAATTAGCTCAGACAGTTATTGAAAATTCAATAGAAGCGAAATTATCTCCTTAAGTATTAATACACAACAACTCACACTTTTTGTTTCGTGTTTTATACGTTATTAATTACTATTAATATATAGATTCTTCACTTTTGTATCGTTATAAATTTTAGGCAACAAATTTATTCTTCAATTTATGTCAAAGTTTCTTTCTTTTCTTTGGTCGTAGGTCGCAAAGTTCTAATTATGTCTAATAATATTTTTTATAAATATAATTCAACACAGCATTCACTAAGTATGATACCTACGGTCTAGTTTCTTCGTTAATACATTTAAAAAAGTCTCAGAACAACCTCCAAAAGCGCGTCTTGGAAGTCGGCCTGATTAACAATTATCTTCTTAAAATACAGTAATTTTATGATATGTCAAATTGTTTTCCTTTACATAAATATTTACAAGGTCTAATCTAAGTAGCTTTGGTATTTCTTTTTCTTTAAAAATTTTACCGCGACTTCTAAAAGAAGTGAATGTGAAGGGTAATGATTGCGCTTCTCCTGAGAATAGAAAACGATCTATTGTGGCTCGCGGTAGAATTAGCTTACCTACATAATGGAAAACAAGATCTATCAATCTAAACTAAGAAAATAGAAAATGTAGGGAAAGTAGAAGACGTAGTCCACTTGGGCGAGTTCGCGCTAAAATTCTACCAAAAATTTATTTTTGCAAGTATTGACAATTTGACACTTTATGATCGGTGAAGTTGACTCAGCTGTCACTAGATGGTGCTTCAAATGTCAAACGATAGTTTGACTCACACTGAAAAAATCTAGAAATTCATTCAAAACTAATTCAAATTGATCATGGTATAATTTTTCCTATTTTCCTAAAATAGGTCGAAGGAAAAAAATTAAAATTGTAAGTAGAAAACATGACGTTGCTGCAAAAAGTTCTTGTTCAAAATTTTATTCAAGTAAGCAGCAATTTTGAAAATACTTAATGCTCAGTATTTAATTGATACACGTGTGTTATACAAAATTTTATCCAACACCTCTTATTTTTTTTTTTGTCAGACTATGAAAAACTACTACAAATAAAGTCATATGTAGTTTTACCATGATGAATGAATGCTTGATTTTTTTCATTTGCCCTGATACCAAAAACATTTCATACAGGAGATTCTTCAGAATCTCAATCAGAACCAAAATCTTGTCTAAAATAACTGAAGAAGTTATTTATTTTCTGAACCCACTCCAAGCTCAATCATACACTAGGCATAGTATGAGACGTTCTTCGGCAGTTATATTGTTAAACGTAGTTGATTTATTTTCAAATTAGAAATTCTGCAAGATTTTACAGACAGATAGACAAAATGGAACACTCCTTATATTACTATGGAAAGATATTTTTGTATAAGGAAAGTGAAGTAAAATCTTGAAATAAAAAAACAAGTAGAGAATGTTCTGAATGAGGCACTTGGAAGCTATTATTTGACGATTCAGGTATTATTTTCGTGGTCGTAATAAAACTACTAAGTTGACCACTGACGACATAAAGGAGGATATTTTTTATTTGACATAAAGACAAACAACCGAAAAGAAAATATATGTCCCTTAGACCAAAAATATTGCACATAGAAGATTATTCTTACAAAGAATGAACTATCCAGTTATTTAGAACCAAAGCCTTGTCTAAAATAACTCAAGAAGTTGTTTCTTTCTTGAACTACTCGAAGCTCAATCATACACTAGGCACAGTACGAGACGTTCTTCGGCAGCTAACGTAGGAGCTGATTTTCAAGAATAAAATGTCACTAGTTTCCGACAAGACTGAAATAGCCACAAAAATATACAAGGTACCCTCAAACGAACGTCAGATCTTTCATACACGACCCATAGTACTATAAGATCGAAAAAAGTCCTGAAGCAAGCTTTGAAATTTAATTAAAAAAAATAATGTTGGCAACACCAAAGCGTCCCTTGTTCGGTTTGACAGTTACGGGGAAATAACTGTCAACTAAAGGGTCAAGAAGATGTAATGCAACATGATTACTTTAAAAATAAATTTCATGGCCTACTAGAGGACTTTTTTCGATCACATAATGTAACGTCAAAGAACCTAAAATAAAATGTCGTAGTATACAGAGTGACTCAATAACCGCATGATCCTGGATATCTCATTAACGTTGTGTCTGTTTTTGAGATGCAATTTAGGTTTTTCAGTAGAACACGCTGTATATATTGCCCTGATTGGCTTCTTCTTAAGTTCAATGACTAAATTTTTTGTGTGAAATGTAGATGCAGCGTTGTCAAGTTATTATAATTCTCTTGGATTTTTTTAACAAGACAAAAAATCGCAATATGTAGTTCTATTTTCAAAATTAAGGTCTGCATTATTTTACGAATACTAGATAGACAAAAATTTGATACAAAATTCAAAATGCTGTAATTTTCATTTAGTGATATCTCAGGTTTTTCTTTCTTTTTTGTATGTTTTATTATATCTCTTTTTTAATTAGTATGTACAGGTGAGTCACTAAACGAGCGTTCCCCGGTATCTCAATAATTATTAGATAGTAAAAAAAATCAAGTGGCATGTTTTTAAGATGTAACAGAAGTTCTTTAAATGAAACAGCCTATATATCTTTCATCTTTTAATCGACCTTTTCTTTTACGATGCATCGTTGCCACATTATTCCAATTTTCTTTAAATGAGATTAAATTTTCGTATACAGGGTGTTTATATGCTGAGTATTTTCCATATTTAAAATTGATAGTTACTGCGATTTTTTTCTTTTTTAAGAGACCCATCGCCGTATTAAAAGAATGAGGACAAAAAACAGAGTAAAATACAGTAATAAAAAACACAGGTGTTCCCTTTGAAAAAACTGAAATATCGATATTTACAAAAAGTAAAGTTTTAGATTTTTTATAAACACTCTGGATAATAGAATTTGACTTAGTTGATCCCAGAATAAAGCGAGTACTTTTATTTATCCTTCCACAAAATATTGTAAGACAGATTTTAAAAACAACCCTATTGCAATTTTTTTATGAACCGTTATAAATTCTTGGGCGAGGCTAAATTTAATTTTTTTCTAGTTCTATAAGCAAGCAGTAGCCACGCCTACCCACCCCTTCTTTGTTCCAGTGACAGTTCTTATTATTGTTCAGTCCTATCGTAGCAAATTTTAGCCCCGCCCACCCACCCTTTTTTTTCTTAGAAGAGTGGGTCATCTGCCAAAATCAATCTTATCTTGACAAGTACCAGGCCCACCCACCCACCCTTATTTTCTTAGAAGATATGCCATTTGCAAAAATCAGTCCCATACTTGCCAAGATAAGATTGATTTTTGCAGATGACCTATTCTTCCAAGAAAATAAAGGGTGGGTGGGTGGGGCTAGTTCTATTTTTTTTGAAGAGTAGGTCATTTGCCAAAATGAATCTTATTTTGCCAAATACTAGCCCGGCCCACCAGTCTTTTATTTTTTTAGAGGGTAGATTATTTGGCAAGCACTAGACACACTGTGTATGTCTGCTGCGATTTTTCAGGTTTTTTTTAAACATCAAAATATGGATGCAGAGCACTTAATTTTATAACTTTCTAAACACTTTACATATTAAAACTCTAACCTATCTAATGCGTTTATTTATGTATCCACAAAATATGGGTATTACAGAAAAAATAACCAAATTTCAAATTTTTTTGACCTTTGCACTGTAAAAAATTTGAAGAAAGTGGAAATAACTTGACAAAAGTGCTTCAAATTTGGAAAAATAAAACCTGTTTAGAAAACCTAAATATTTTAAAAATTGTTGCGTTTAGAACATGTATATTTGAAAATAATAAAAAAAAAAAACGAATACTAGTGACTCGAAAATTGTGGTCTCTGTTTCATTGGTGATCTTTCATCCCTCAAAATCACCACGGTTTCAAACTTTTATTTAGAGGTGTTGGGGAACAAAAAAATGAACATCAATTTACTAAAGCTATTTTTAGAATGAAAATATAATTTTTGTAGTAGTTACAAATTTTCTCGAAAGTGTTACTTGCAAAAATAAATTTTCAGTGTTATGAACTTTCCGCCCCTTGAACCACCACAGAAAGTAAGAAAAAGCCCGCGAAAAGAATGCAGCTGCCCTTAATCCACACCTGCAAACAGCTTAACTTGAAAATTTTAATTTACTAGAACCTTAACCGGAGCCCTCCACCCCCTCGCTCCGGCTAACTCATCAATCCAAAAAACATCAGCTACGTTATCTTCACTACTAATAATGACCTTAGAATGTATACGGGGCTAGATTACCAAAACCACAAATATGTACAAGCGCCTTGGCGCCCCTCCCGATTATCAATGGCAGGCAGAGTCGTCATATTCAACCCAGCAAGTAACAACCCCTCAACGGAAGAAAACGCAAAATTTACTATATGCATGAAAGTGTGTGTTGGGTCACTAATACGGTTCGTGCTGTATTTTGGGGGAGAGGCGCGTGTGTCCTTGGGGCTTCCACGCGTCTCCGTGCTCGGTGTGGGGGGCGATGGCCGCCAGGGGGGGCGGCGACGAGCCGGGCTGGGACGTCGGGGCGCTAACAATGCTCAACGCATGCATTATGCAGGTCTTGGCCGTGGACTCCACGTCCATTAGGTCCTCCAGCTCTTTGTCGTTGCGAGAGTTGGCCGAATCTGGGGTGCCCGTGAGACCGTCACGGCCGTTCTCCATAAAGTCCGGTTCGTGATCGCCGTTTTCCTCCTCGCCCTCGCAGGCCGTCTCGTTCTTGTTCTCCTGGAAGAAAGAGAAGAGATGAAGAAGTGTGGGATAGCGGGGGTCGGTCGACGCAATAATCCCCGTCGACGGCCAAAAATACACTTTGGAAACCGAAACATGCAAAAATGAGCGTTGTTTAATCTAATCAGTAGTTGGTTGACGAAGGTCGTGATGGAAATAGTGGCCGAGAGGGATTCTCGATCTAGGAATTGTACGAGATCATGTAATTTCGCTCTTTAGGGTAGTAGATTTTTTAAATATTGGAAATTTCGCAGTAGAAAATGCTGCTCACTTTCTACTAGAAATGTATCTTATTGCATTAAGTCGTAAAGAAAACTGAAGAAAATGATAAATTGTTATTAAGTATGTCAAATCCACAAAATTTACAGTTTTAACACAACTGGGAATTTCATTGCTCTAATATGACAGTCAGGTATCATTTGTGAGGGCAATATTAGGCACTGAATTTTTTGACGGTTTTATATACAGGGTGTTGCGTTTTAACTACCTGATAAATCAAATTATTTCAAAACTGGTTTTATTGAGCTACTTTAATTTTCACCAGTAGTTTTTGTTTTGTGATAGAGTCAAAAAAAATTCTTGAACTTTTTTTTATTACTAACATAAAACCTGTAAAACGTGAATTAAAAATTAATCAATTAATTAATTTCGAGAGGACGTCATTACGTGGTTGGTGGGGATGATCAGACAAATTCTGGGTAGATTTTTACTATCTATTTAATATTTCTAAAGTATTCACCAGTAGTTTCGGAGATTGTCTGTTTAAAAAAATCGCCAAAATATCATATATCATAAAATAGACTGCTTCTCTATTCTATAATAATTCTCAAGTGTCTTTTTTAATGTTTGTTTCGGAAAAAAGAATAAAAATTTAATTGAAAACACTTTTTATAATTAAAATAAAAATTACGGCATTATCCTTGTGGCCACAAAATTATAGGGAACCTAATGATAAAAACCGGAATATGCTTTCTTTTTACCTGTAAAGGAAGCTATTCCGGTCAAAATTTTCTATCTCGGTTAAATGTACATCAATTTGTCCGAAAATTACCTCTGTCCCTGTCCCGAACCTTTTGAATAATAACCAGTGGCTAAGAAAAAATCTACAAGGGCTCCTGATTTTTTAATATTCAAGTTTCCCGTAGATGACATCGCCAGATAAATATTTACGTAAATACTAAACGGGCACAGCTGTTTAGCTGAAAATTAAACCTCATACCCAGAAAACTATACAAAATCGGGTGATGAAAACCGGACTATGCTATCTTTGTCCATTCAAAAGTTCTGGGTCGTCAAACTAACAATTTATTTTTTGAGTTTTGGTTAACAGAATATTTCGTTTAAAATAGTAGTAATTTTCAATAACCGATGCTAACAACGCACTCAGCTGAGCAAAATTAATCGGGAAACTGAATTTCAGGCACATTGACAAATGTTTATTTTTTGGTAAATTTTTTCCGGAGCTATTCCGGTAAAAATTTTCTAACTTAGGATATATCAAGTTATCTCGGGCAAAAGCACCTCGCTTTGTCTGAAAATTACTGATGCCCATAATTCGAGCTTTCTCAATAAAAATCTGTGACCAAAAAAATTCTAAAGGGGCTCTTGATTTTTTTTTTATTTTTAATATTCGAGACTTCCGTAAAGGACATCGTCCGATAAATGTTTACGTACACACTAAACGGGTACAGCTGTTTAGCTGAAATTTAAACCTCATGCCCAGAAAACTATACAAAATCGGGTGATAAAAACTGGACTATGCTATCTTTGTCCATTCAAAAGTTATGGATCGTCAAACTAACAATTTATTTTTTTGAGTTTAGATTAACAGAATATTTCGTTTAAAATAGTAGTAATTTTCAATAACCGATGCTAACAACGCACTAAATTGAGCAAAATTAATCGGGACACTGAATTTCAGGCACATTGACAAATGTTTATTTTTTAGTAAATTTTTTCCGGAGCTATTCCGGTAAAAATTTTCGAACTTAGGATATATCAAGCTATCTCGGGTAAAAGTACCTCGCTTTGTCAGAAAATTACCGATGTCCATAACTTGAGCTTCCTCAATAAAATTCTGTGACCAAAAAAATTCTAGGGGGGCTCCTGATTTTTTTTTTATTTTTTAATATTCGAGTCTCTCGTAAATGACATCGTTCGATAAATGTTTATGTAAATACCAAACGGGCAGAGATAACTAGCTAAAAATTAAGTACCATACCCACAAAACTCTACGGAATTGAACGATAGAAACTGGAATATTCTATCTTTGTCCGTTCAAAAGTTATGGACCGTCAAACCAACAATTTGTTTTTTGAGTTTTTGTTAAAGGAGAATTTCGTATTAAATAGTGCAAACTTTCAATAGCCGATGCTAAAAACGCACTCAACTGGGCAAGCTTAATGCAGAAACTGAATTTCAGGCACATTGACAGATGTTTATTAATTGGTCAATTATTTTCCGGAGCTATTCCGGTAAATTTTTCGAACTTAGGATATATCAAGCTATCTTGGTTAAAAGTACTTCGCTTTGTTTGAAAATTATTGCTGTCCATAACTCTAACCTCCTGAATACAAATCTGGGACCAAAAAAATTCTAGAAGGGTTCCTGATTTTTTTTTTAATTTTTTAATATTCGAGTCGAGTCGTAAATGATATCGTCCGATAAATGTTTACGTATATACTAAACAGGTACAGATATCTAGCTGAAAATTATGCTCCGTGCCCACAAGACTCTACGGAATCGAGTGATAAAAACCGGAATATGCTATCTTTATCCGTTCAAAAGTTATAGACCGTAAAACTAACAATTTGTTTTTTTGAGTTTTGGTTAAAGGAGAATTTCGCTTAAAATAGTACAAATTTTCAATGTCCGATGCGAAAAACGTATTTAGCTGGGAAAAATTAATCTGGAAACTTTATTTCAAGCACATTGACAGATGTTTATTTTTTGATCAATTTTTTCCGGAGCTATTCCGGTAAAAATTTTCGACTGCAGGAAATATCAAGTTCTCACGGTTAAAAATACTTCGATTTGTCGGAAAATTACTGCTTTCCATAATTCGAACATCCTGAATAAAAATCTGTTAAGAAAAATTCTCGAGAGGTTACTGATTTTTTTTTTAATTTTTTAATATTCGAGTCTCTCGTAAATGACATCGTCCGATAAATGTTCACGTAGATACTAAACAGGTACAGATATCTAGCTGAAAATTATGCCCCATATCCACTAAACTCTACGGAATAGAATGATAAAAACCGGAATATGCTATCTTTGTCCCTTCAAAAGTTATAGACCGTAAAACTAACAATTTGTTTTTTTGAGTATTGGTTAAAGGAGCATTTCGCTTAAAATAGTACAAATTTTCAATAACCGATCCGAAAAACGCACTTAGCTGAGAAAAATTAGTAGGGAAACTAAATTTCAGGTAGATTGACAAATGTTTATTTTTGGGCAATTTTTTCCGGAGGTATTCCGGTCAAAATGTTCGAACTTAGGATGTATTAAACTCTCTCGGTTAAAAATATCTCGATTTGTATGAAAATTACTGCTGTTCATAAATCGAGCCTCATGAATAAAAATCTGGGAAGAAAAAATTCTGGTGGGGGCTACTAATTTTTTTTTTTAATTTTTTAATATTCGAGCCTCCCGTTAATGACATCGTCCGATAAATGTAGATCGTAAACGGGTACAGATACCTAGTTGAAAATAAAGCCGCCTATTCACAAAACGATGCAGAATCAAATGATAAAAATCGGAATGTCATCAATTGTACTGTTCAAAAGTTATGGACCGTCAAATTCACGCTTTGGTTTTTTGAGTTTTGGTTAAAGGAGCATTTCGTTTAAAATAGTGCTAATTTTCAATAACCGATGCGAAAAGCGCACTTAGCTGGGAACAATTAGTCTGGAAACTTTATTTCAAGCACATTGACAGATGTTTATTTTTTGGTCAATTTTTTCCGGAGCGATTTCGGTCAAAATTTTCGAAATGAAGGCATACCTATCAAGTTATCTCCGTTAAAAGTGCCTCGATTTGTCTGAAAATTACTACCGTCCATAATTCGAACCTCTTGACTAAAAATCTGGGACCAAAAAAATTCTAGTGGGTCTCCCGATTTTTTTTTTAATTTGTCGCCCGGAAGTGACATCGTCCGATAAATGTTTACGTGTTACTAAAGGGGCACAGATACCTAGTTGAAAACAAAGCTCCAGATCCAAAAAACTACACAGAATCGAATGATAAAAAGCGGAATATCTTATCTTTGTCCGTTCAAAAGTTATGGATCGTCAAACTAACAATTTGTTTTTTTGAGCTTTGGTTAAAGGAGGATTTCGTTTAAAATAATACAAATTTTCAATAACCGATGTCGAAAACGCACTCAGCTGGCCAAGATTAATCTAGAATCTGAATTTCAGCACATTGCAGATGTTTATTTTTTGGTCAATTTTTTCCGGAGAGCTATTGCAGTCAAAATTTTCGAACTTAGGATATATCAAGCTATCTCGCGTAAAAGTAACACGCTTGGTCTGGAAATTACTGCTGTCCATAATTCAAGCCTCCTGAATAACAATCTGTGATCAAAACAATTCTAGCGTGGCTCCTTTTTTTTTATTTTTTAATATTTGAGTCTCCCGTAAATGACATCCGATAAATATTTACGTAGATACTAAACGGATCTAGATATCTAGCTCAAAATTAAGCCCCGTGCCCACAAAACTACACAAAATCGAGTGATAAAAACCGAAATATGCTATCTTTATCCATTCAAAAGTTATGGACTGTTAAACTAAAAATTTGTTTTTTTGACTTTTGGTTCAAGGAGGATTTCGTTTAAAATAGTGAAAATTTTCAATAACCGATGCCAAAAACGCACTTACCTTGAAAAAATTAGTCTGGAATCTAAATTTCAGGTGGATTGACAAATTTTTATTTATTGGGCAATTTTTCCGGAGCTATTGCGGTCAAAATTTTGGAATTTAGGCCATATCAAGCCA